ACAGAGTGCTTGCCTAGTATATGTGAGACCCTGGGTTTGATCCCCAGCACAGAAAAAGAAAGAAAAGAAAGAAAAAGAAGGAAGGGAGGGAGGAAAGGAAAGAAGGAAGGAAGGAAGGAGGGAAGGAGGGAAGGAAGGAAGGAAGGAAAAGTTTTTTCCATGTACCTGTTGGCCATTTGTATATCTTTTGAGAAATGTCTACTGCCCATTTGCTTAATCAGATTACATGCTTTTTTTTCTTTTGCCTTTGAGTTGTTTGTATTCTTACACATTCTAGATATTGACACCTTGTCATGTATAGTTTGTGAATACTTTACCACCCTGTAGGTTTTCTCTTCATTCTGGCAGTGATTTCCTTTGCTGTGCAGATGCTTTTAATATATGCAATCCAATTTGTCTATTTTTACTTTTGTTTTGGGGGCCTTGGGGGGTCTTATCCAAAAAATATTTGTCCATTACAAGTCCTAAAGCAGTTCCCTTTTGTTTTCTTTTAGTTGTTTCATAGTTTTAGGTCTTACATTTAAGTCTTTGATTCATTTTGAGTTGATTTTTTTTTATGATGAGACATTCTTCTTGATGTGAATATTCAAGTTTCCAGCAATGTTTATTGAAGAGACTGTCATTTCCCCAGTGTGTGTTCTTAGCATCTTTGTGTAGCTCAGTTCACTGTGGATTCATAAGTTTACTTCTAGGCTCTCTATTACGCTCCATTGATCTATGTGTCTACTTTTATTCCAAAACCATGCTGTTTGGATTACTATAGCTTGGTAGTAATGCCTCCTGTTTTGTTCTTTTGCATGAAATGTCACTTAACAAAACAAGATTTACTTACCCAGAAGGAAAAATCTGTTTTTATGAATCATGAAATTGTGGGAGATTTCATTTTTTTTAATGTGAATTTGTTTAAAAGTTTTTATAATGAATATGTTACATTTATAGTCAAATGAAATAAAATTTTTAAAAATTAAAAATTCCTCCAATATACATTAAACTTGAAATTAATAACTGATATTAAAATACATTGCTGATTTATTATGTGATAGAACCCTATTGTAAAATGTTATTTTAAAATATCCTTAATTACTAGTCCCACTTTTCACCTTTATACCATGCAGCATTAACAGAATTTAAAGTAACAAAATTATGACTTTGACCATATATGCACATCTTTTTTGTAAAGAAGTTAATTACCGAATACTTCCTCATCCCTCCCAGACTACAAAGCAAAGCTGCATATAACAGATGTTCAATAACTGTTCCTTTCTACTCACCAGGCCAAGAAGATCTAGTCAAAGTTACCTGCTTCCCATATTTTTGAACTATAAGCACCTAAAATCAGACTATAAAAAATTAAAAATAAAATTGAAGCAGGAATTGAAGCTGGTGACTCTGCTCATGGTTCTTACTGAGATTTAACAAATGTTTCTCAGAAGAAAAAAACCAAGAACCTAAACAAATGATTAAGTGAACCTAATGTACACTAAATCACTGATCTACAAATTTGTGATCACACTGCACACTGGACTACAATGTTACACTTTCGCCTAAATGTCCATTTTATTTGAAATTTGATGGAGAAATAAGCAATAATTTTTTATTTAAGTATCTTTTTGTTCCGGTGGATGATCTCCTTAAAACACCATTCAAAAAAAAAAAAAAAAAAAAGACTGGATTTGAAGCTAGAAGCCCTAGGTTAAGGTCCATTTTTGCCTCTAATTTTGTACCAGACAAATTTAATCTTTCTAATCTAATCTAATCTTTCTAATCTAAGCCACCTAATCTTTCTAAATGCGTCTCCATTGTTTACCTACAAAATGAGGATATCTTTACCTGTTCCACATAAGGCAGTTCAGTTCTTTCAGTATCTCATTGGTAGAACCATCCAGTTCATAAGAAACACACTCAGTCTCTCTTTACCTTTTAATTCAGGGCTGAACTTTTCTAGTCAATAAGCTTTAAAGTCTTCAAATCTTTCCCCAGCTCAGGTAAATAGCCCAATTCCATAGAAAAGCATACTTCAGCAGCCTTCTAGCACTGCATATTGTAAAGATGTTTTAAAACATGGAATATATTGTTTTGCTTTTAAAGTTTGGGAATTTTTTTTGCATGCCTTTTATTATACTTTTTCCTTCTTTAGGGCAAAATAAAATAAAAATTAAAAATTAAAAATTCCTTGCTCTGAACCCATGTACCAGAAATGACCACTATGAACAGTGTGCTCAATATTTGAAGAATTTTATCCATGCTTATTGTATTAGTTTGGGCAGGTGAATTACTGTGAGAAATGGACAAAAATAAAAGCACATTACAGCTCTAAGGCAAGTGAGGTTTATTTCTTGCTAATGGAACAGTACTGGATGGTGAGCAGGAGGCCAAGGCAGAACTCTGTGCAGTCACTCAGGCACCAGGCTGCTGGAGGCACTGCCTTTTGCTCAATTCCAAATTCACAGTGAAGTGCATTTCCATTCCACCCTGTTGAGCTGCACATATACAATGTCTCAGCTTTCTTAAAGCATAACTAATTTCCTGCATACTTGTGTCATAATTGCTTAACTCAAAATTGTCTTGATTCAAATTCACCTTCCCAGGTGTACTTGGAGCTCATTCAAATTTGGACTCTAGTTAGAGGTTCTGTGGTACTTTCTTTCTGTCTTTGAAAGGCTTATGCTAGCTGAATTTGCTTTTTATGTCATCTCTCTCTAACAACTCCTGACAATCTATGAGCTCTCCACTCCTATGCTTCAGGGGAGATTTTGGAAAAATCACTTATGATCATTGTTGAGCTCACTGTCTTCTTCCCTCAGAAAGCAGCTTCTTTTTCCCTGCTTGTGGTATCTCTTGTTCATCTTTCTTTTTTGCCTCTTACACACACCTCCCATCCCCCAAAATCCTTCTTCTCTTTTGTGTTTTCCCCCTCACTACTAAGAAGGCAGAAGATCAGGAGGATGAAGGTTCCAGGCCTTCCCAAGCAAAAAGATACTGAGATCCCCATCTCAATGAAAAAACTTGGAAGTTCCTAAAAAATAAAGTTATTTGCCTAGGCAAGAGTCCCCTGGGTTAGTGTAGTTTAATGAATAAAACAGACCAGGAAGGTTATGTTTCTAACATAACCTAACATAACACTAAGCTATGTGTGCAGGAAGGAAGATGAGTTGATAAATGGTTTCTATTCTCACAGCTAATTTCACCTTCTCTTTTCTAAGGTCTGTTTCATAGGCAATGTCCTTACTTGAAATATCTAACCTAGCAAGGTTTTAAAAATTATTTTATGGAAACATTTCAACACCTTCAACCCCAAGTCCTTGATGTCTAGCTTTCATGGTACTTGTGAGAAAAGCAATAATAAAACCATTGTTTGTAGGGAGCTTTCAACTGTAGGAAGGCTATATATCACATCCCTTGTGCATTATTTAGTCCTCACAAGAGCCTCTTGAGGGAACAGGTATTGTTATTGTCCCTATTACACAGAGCAGGTAAACTAGGGATGAGGAAGCTATGACTCAAGAGACCAAGGATCTTCTCCAAAATCATGTAGCCAAAAGTGGCAAAGTCAAAATTCTATTTCAGCTTCATCTGACTCTTTAGCAGTGTAAAAAGGAGCAAGCTTCTAATATGTGCTACAACATGGATGAACTCCACAGACATTAAAGTAAATGAAAGAAAAAAACCAGAAAGCCCACCTATTATATGATCACATTTATAGAAATGTCCAGCTAAAGTAAACTTATAGAGATGGAAAATAAGGGCTGGGGGTATGAGTCACTAGTACAGTGCTTTCCTAGGATGCACAAGGCCCTGGGTCTGAACCCCAGCACTGAAAAAGAAAAGGATAGCAAGAAAAGAAAAGAAAAGAAATTAAAATAAATAATTAAAGAAATAAATAATTAAGAAAATAAATTAAAATAAATAATTAAAATAAATTAGTGATTTCCAGGCATGAGAGAGAATAGGAATTAACTGCAAATAGACATATAGTTGCTTTTGTCATTGAAAAAAAATGTTCTAAAACTGGATTGTGATGATGCTTGCACAATTGGGTAAATCTGCTAAAAATTATTAGGCTGTACAATACATGAACTTTGTGGAATGTAAGTTCTTCTTCAATAAAATGGTTTTTAAAATTACAGAGGTCAGATTCTAAGCTTTCTGATTGGTTCCATCAGACTGGACCCAAGTCCCCATAGGAATCAAGTCGCAGGAGACTTCTCTGAGGAAAAAGGCTTCAGGTCTTACTAGGTTCTTTATATACTTTTCCTATAAGGAGTCCCTTTAAGTTCTTTTAGCCAATCTACATATGTTAACCATGTTAACTTTATCAGTGACAGCCATTTCTAACAGCTGCTTATCTCCTTAATGCTAATTATGCATTCTTAAGCATAATAAGATATAAACCTAAGGATGTAAGTTTCAGGCACATAGGATATCACAACATATATGCTGAAGAGTCTTAAATTATTGACATTGCAATGTAAACTCAAGGGAACTATTAAGACTTCACTATCCTCTCTACATCTGAAACAGCAATTGACAGACCTCACTGCTGTTTTTAGCAATGCTGTCAGCCATTATATGATTCTCTCAACCTCCCACTCCAGTGTTCATTATCTTGGCCAGACTGCTGGCTTTTGTTGATAATAAAGATAATTGTCCCCAACTGCTCTTCAAGTAATTGGAGAGCATGTTTTTCTTTTCTATCTAAATCTAAAAGGGGCAAAAACAACCAAACAACCTCTGAAACTACAAGTGAGACAAAGGCAGTCCATACCTTCAAATGGACTGAGACCAAGTCAGTGAAGAGAGACAGCCATTGTGTCCCTATGAGGAGCCAGGACTGGTCTGTTGTTGACAGCACTGAGTTCTGGCAGCAACAGTCCCTGCAATACCACATAAATGCATATTCTTCTGATAAACATTTGTTAAACCTGATTTATGTTGTGTTATCTTTGGCAAAAACAGATATGGATATATTATGATGGTTGTGCTCCTCATAATTTTCACAGAGAAATCCGGAATACCAGAAGCTTAATTTACATAAACCCTGATGCCCTAGAAGAACTCCCCCTCCTTAAGTTCCTGTAAGTATTAACTTCTTCTCATCCCACTTTCTGTTTTTTGAGAATTTCAATGCTATTGTCTTTCAGGAAACTCCCTATGATGATGTCATCCAGGGTCATTTTAATGATGTATGGCTTGGTCAAATCACTTCTGTGACTTCCTTCCCACCCCCTCCCATTGGGTAAGGTATCAGGTGAAATGATTCACATATTAAAAACTTACCCAAAAGTCAGCACAAAGTGTGAGAGACCTGCTCCAAGAAACATAACACCATTTTGTATATACAGCCTTTGTATATACAGGACAAAACAAAATCCTGAGAGCATAACTGGACAGCAATGAAGATTTATGGGACAATTCTTTTATGGAGTTTGAGTGCCAAATCAATCAATAATCAGGTAATTAGAGGAGACATCAAAAGAATTTGGTTTTTGAAAAGTAAAGAGGTCAGGATTCAAGTCTCTTTAATTTGGCATTTCTAGCCTTTTACTATCTGGCCTGCATGTGACTCTTTAACATTTTTATTTCTTCCTACTCTTTTATGTGAACCTTAATTGCACTTCAACTAGTTGGTTTACTGTTTTTCAAATACACTTCATGGAATATTGCTTCTCTCCTTTGTTATATGGAATGTACCACTGGCTCATTTTGATGTCTCTGGCTCCTGTTGCCTCCTCAAATCCTGTGCTTTCCATTCTAGAAGGAGACAAGTCTGAACTGCTTTGGAAGGTACATCAAGGAACTGGAGATTTCTTTGTACTAGACCTTCTCTAAAGATCTACTGGGTAGTGTTTAAGTCTTACCTCCTTGCCATGCCAAGCCTCTCAAAAAGTTTTCTGTTTCCACTAGCCACATTCTAGTAACTGATAGAACAATAATGTCACCATTTATAAATCAGCAGCAGCCATTTTACCCTCAGACCTCACTTGAGAAATTTCCAAGGACAGCCCACCCTTAAAGAGAAAATCCCGCTCTCTAAGACAGCCCCACCCCGACCAGAGACTATTACACATGCGCTAACTTCCTTAACCTCCCCCTTCTATAAAAGCCACGCCTGGCTCAGAATCACTGTTGTGCCATCTTTTCCCCGGCCAGTCTGGTAGTTTGGGCCTGCCATTAAGCTTTGCTCTATGGATGTGAGACTTTTCTCATGATCTTTCTTTGTGAGTGGCGTTTTTTCTAATATTTGGTGCTGTGACTCAGATCGGGGAGCACTCCCGGCCTCCCCCACCCCTCACTCCCAGCACTGACCTTGCTCTCTCAGCCTCCCCTACCCCATCCCCCCCCCTCAACTTCCATTCCCTCCCTCTGGGATCTGAGCTGCTTTACCAGGACCCCCGATCCTAGAAAGCACTGCTCCCTCTTTAGCTCACAGGGAATTTCTTCCGCCCCAGCGCACCTCTAATTGCCATCCACCACCAGCCAATCTTCCCTCAAGGTCCTCTCTCTTGGTGAGTCCTCCTCACATGGAGAGCTGTGATCTCTCTCTCATTTCCTTGAAATCCTAGCACTAGGTCTCAGCTTGCTCCTGTCCCTGGGAACCGTGTTCCCCACTAGGGACTGTGGACCCCCGTGGTGAAGACACTCCCTCTGGGTGCTCCACATCTCTCTCTTTCTCTCCTGAGGACCTGATATTTCAGGGATGCCCATCATATCTCTCCTCAGGTCAGGCCTCACCATGGGAGTTGGACCATCCAAAATTCCTTCAGACTCCCCATTGGGATGTCTCCTGGCCAATCTTGGGCCCCTCCGCCTAATGCCTGATCTTAAGCCACAAAAGCTCATTTTTCTCTGTAATCAGGCCTGGCCCCAATACCCATTAGACAGTGCCTCCAAATGGCCACATAATGGCACTTTCAATCCCAATATTTTAAGGGATTTATAGAATTTCTGTAAGTGTGCTGGTAAATGGAAGGATTTCCCTATATCCAATCCTTTCCCTATCTCCACACCAAACCCTCCCCCTGTACTTCCTGTTCCCCTGCGCAGATCCTATTGCCTCTAAACCAGCTTCTAAACAAGGCAAATCCTCTCTCAAACCTCCTCCTTCCCCACGTAAGCAGACTTTTTGCGCTGCTCAGGCTGCCTGTCTCTTCCTATCTCCTAAAGGACTTTTCTGTCATGGTGCCATGCCAGCCACTCCTTGCCAACTCTGGCCTCACAGCAATTCTGGCTCTGGGGAGCTCATGCTCCCTCCCTTTGGGCTGAAACCAAGCCTGGGGTTTATTCAGTGACTGGAGAATGGAGGTTTCATATTGCTGAAAGTGTTCCAGTACCAGTCAATGGGAGTGACCTAGAGACACAGGTGATGGGCTAGTCCTTCAGGTGTATGTCATGCCTCCAGGCTCTGCCTTCCCCTCCCTTACCTAAGATGTCAGGACACCTTTTCTGCTCCCTCCATGGTCTCACCATGTGTCCTTTGTCTCTGTCTGCCTTCCCCTCCCTGGGCTTACTGGGACCCTGCATCCCATGAAAACCCTGTAGCATGGCACCTTATGACTTAAGTTATTCCAACTAGTTTGCCAGGCCTCTCAGTCTAAAGTAACTTTAAATCAGCTGCTTTACAAAAAGCATTTACAAAAAACTGCGGCTGCCATGCTTTCGCCCTAACTCCGCCCCCACAAAGAGAGGAGGGAAAGCAAACAGGCACGCTTGTGCACAGGGATGCTGGCTCCTGAACACAACAAAAATGCCTGCCATAGCTAAGATAATCCATACAGAGGACCCAGCACATCCTGGGCCACCAGCCACACATGGCGATGGCTGCAGCCCGCCGCCACTTCCCCTAGAATAAACGCGCACAGAGTACCTCAGGATCAGGCCTAGGCAGTCAGGCTCACTTCTCCCAGGTGTGTGTGGAGGGAGTGGCGCCTTGCACAAGCCCTGCTCCTAACCCCACCTCACACCTCGGGGGGCCAGACCCAGCCCTTGTAAGCCAATTGTTAACTCAAGGTTATAGTCCCAGAAATAACACATTACTGTGGTCTCTAAACTTCTCATTTAAAATTTTCTATACTTTCGGCCTCAACATAAATTTTTCCCTGCAAATATTAACACTAGTTGTCCCATATAGTACTATTATTGGCCCAAAATGCCCTCTAAATGCCCTTCTCTAACTTTACAGATTTATTCCTTTATTAAAAAGGTAGCCTTTATTAAAGAGGCTGCCTGATGTTGACTAAAAGACAGGATCCTAAGGTTTTGTTCTTTCTAGATGGGACCTGCACCTTCCAGTCTTCTGGTTTGTAGATGTTAAAAGCTTTGTATTAAGGCCTGGCCTCAATAAGTCTTGGGTGACCAAGAGAAGTGGCCTTCACAGGGTTCCTTAAATTACAATACCAAACTCCAATTAGACCTTTTCTATAAAAGTAAAAAAAGTAAACCGAAGTCCCCTATACAAATTTCTACCTTCTAAGCCACCCCAATACTCAGAACCTCCTTATGGGTGATTCTCCCTTCAATAGGTAATGTAGAAAGAGGGCAAATCTATGTCTCTTTCCAGCTATCAGATCTAAGGGAAATTAAAAAACATCTAAACAGCTGTACTAATGCCCAAATACATTCAAGCCTTTATCTCTGTGATCCAAACCTTTCAATTAACATAAAAGGATATTATGCTTCTACTAGACCAGACTCTTTCCTCATTAGAAAAGCAATGGGTTCTGGCCCAGGCTGCTCAGGTTGAAAATGATTACCATTTACAATAAGCCCCAATACTAGTGACACCTGGAAATAAGGGAATAAATGCACTTACCTACAGGGGCACAAATAGTCTCCTTGACAGATCCACACCAAAAGGGGATAATGATATTGCTCAAGCAGTAGAGTGCTGCTTTGCAGGCATAAAGTCCTGTGTTCAATCCCAGTACAGCCAAAGGAAAAAAAATTATATATATAATATATATATGTATATATATATATATATTTGGAGATAAAAACATAGCTCAGTGAGAGAGTGTCTGCCCAGCATGTGCAAAGTCCTGGGTTCAATTCCCCAACATTACTAAATCAAAAAAAAAATGATAAAGAAGATAAATGGTGTTAATGTCACTTCAGCCATCTCATAGTGGAAAAAAAGTAATTTAACCTAGACCAGATCCCTCATTCTTCAAGTGAGGAAACTGAGACCCAGAACAGTTTAGAGACCTGCTCTCCAGAGTGTCAGGTGTCAATGTAAAATAACAACTTTGCTTTACAACAATGCCCTAAAAAAAATCCCCTTACCTTTCTACAACATCCTAAAGAGGCTATCAGAAAACATACCATGATGAACCCAGAGTCACAGGTGAGAGAGAGTCTCCTCAAAGATAAATTTCTGATACTCAGCCCCAAATATTTGTAAAAAACTCAGTTTGTGGCTTAAGGAGAAAAGTCACTGAATCAGCTAATACAACTAGCCAAATCTGTGTATTATAACCGGGACATTACTAACAGAGAGAAAGACAAGAGACATGACCTCATTGCTGCCCCCACCCAACTGGGGCCTACATCTCAAGTTTGCTACCATGGTGGACAGGAGGGACATTTCTGCAGAGAATGCTCAAAGGGGACAGACCAGGAGACAGCCCCACCCCCAACCAGGACCCTGCCCTCTCTGCAAAGGTAACCACTGGAGGTCTAAGTGCCCCCACCTCCAGATGGAAGGCGAGGTGCCACCTCCTATGGATTGATGGGTCCTGGCCCCCTGTCCACACTCCACTTCATGGCATCAATGTTGAGGAGCCTCATGGTAGCCATTATGACAAAAAAACAAAACATCATTTTCTGGCTAGACAGTGGAGCTCATTTCTCTATTTTACCTTTCTCTCCAGGTCCCCAGTCCAGTGACAAAAGTTATCATTTGGAGCATATCTGGCTAGCCCCTAGAGCACTATTTTACCTGGCCTCTGGTCTGCTCTTTGGGAAACCTCCTCTTCTGTCACTCTTTCCTCATAGTACCTAAAACTCCAATGTCCCTGCTGGGACAGGATTTACTTTCTCAACTAAAAACTCAAATTCTCCTCCCCCCAGGCAGCTATTTCTACTGCCCCCTCCTTCAGGAATAGATTCCACAGTGTGGACTGATGAGATGAGTATAGGGCAAGCCAAGGTGGCCCTCCTTATTCAAATAAAACTCAAAAATCCCTCACAATTTCCACACCCAAAACAATATCCCCTCAAGCCCCTTTGAGGAATGATAAGGCCTTATGCCTATCATAAATTCCTTAAAACACCAAAGGCTACTAATTAGTTGCCCCAGCCCATATAATAAATTCAAAATTCTTATAAAAGTTAATTTTAAAATACAAGTTACAAAGTAAACAACTAAAAAGGATATAGATAGGTAATAAATGTATTTTTTGAGAAGTTAAAGGAAAAAAGAATGTTTTTAGATAAAAAAGGATTTTATAAAGAAGGGTTTGTCCTAAAGATTGTTTCAAACAGGAGGGATAAAGACAAGCCATCAAAGGGCTTAATATGTTATATAAAGGTCTGAGTAAGTTTTAAAAGTGTATAATAAAAAATTTTGATGTGTAATAAAATTAGAATTGAATATAATCTAAGAGTTGCTTAAAAGATTTTTAGGGTCATGTCAAACTAAAATCAAATTTTCTATGTCTATAAAATAACAAGGTTATCTTAATATTGTTCTGCTCTGAGTAACATCTACAAAAAACCATTACAGAGAAAGATTTTATCAAAGAAATTATTTGTGTTTTCTGCTGATCTTGTCAAGCTTTAAGTATACTAAATCAGAGTTCATTTATATATTTGCTTATGTGTCTTAAATAACCACCTTATAACAATGTTTTGTCTATACTTTATCTAAATATGGTACAAAGATTTACAAAGTTATATACAAAATGAGCTAAAACTCTCTTTTATCCAAAAGTGTTACATTTAACCTAAATCCTGATAGCCCCTGCCTCCCACAGGTCACCTACCTAGGTGTGGCCTTAAAGGGACAGACTCACTCCCTGAGTCATGAGTGCATCAACCCAATCCTCCATTTCCCTCCCCCCATACCATAAGACAGCTTAGAGCTTTCTTAGGAGTTACAGGATTTTACAAAATTTAGATCCCTAGGTATGCAGTCCCTTAGCAGACACCTTTTTTATGCTCCTCCTAATATTCCTATTTAGGTATTAAATAATGTATGGCCACCCATTTCTCTTAAAAAACTTGCCTCCAACAGACTCTGCTCCTCTGGCTGACTATCTGCCTTACCTTAACCTTCTCAGGGAACTTCTCAGAAAACATACAGACCAGATCCTGCCGCACCCTATAACAATTTCTGTTAAACCAGGGGATCTTGTTTTGTAAAGGATCTTCTACCCTCTCCATTGGGACTTCAATGGACCAGCCCTCATCTAGTCATTCTCATGACACCCACTACTATCAAGCTCAATGGGATCCCCCAGTGGCGACACCTCTCAAGGAACAGTTAGAAAAACAGAAAAGGGAATTGGAGGACTCTTGGAGTTGTCTAGGGAACAACATTTCACAGTGGTTCTCCTGGCCAATGCCCATCCTAGTGCCTATGTTTCTTGCTCTCCTATTCTTAAGCTTCCTCCCTTGTATCATACTGCATGTCTGTTATTGATAATCAACAGTTCAACCAGGTGTACCTCCAGGGATACCAACCCACCAGGACGCCACAGGAGTCTGAGGATCGTGCCCCATACAGCGCCCCCTGTCAGCAGGAAGCAGCTAAGAGACTGACGCTTCACTCCAATTCCCAATCCTCAGCCCCTACCCTCATCAGTACTAAAGAAAAAATGGGGGAATGATAGAACAATAATGCCACCATTTATAAATCAGCAGCCATTTTATCCTCAGACCTCACTTGAGAAACTTCCAAGGACAGCCCCACCCTTAAACAGAAAATCCCGCTCTCTAAGACAGCCCCACCCCTACCAGAGACTATTACACATGCGCTAACTTCCTTAACCTCCCCCTTGATAAAAGCCACGTGTGGCCCAGATTTGCTGCTGTGCCATCTTTTCCCCGGCCAGCCTAGCAGTTTGGGCCTGCCATTAAACTTTGCTATATGGACGTGAGATTTTTCTCGTGAGCTTTCTTTGTGAGTGGCATTTTTCCTAACAGTAACTACAACAAATGTTAACTAAATCTGGGTGGCACCAGGTGCTCGAGAGTTTTTGTGTTCATGCTGTTTTATGCACATCTTTTAATCCTGACATTTTTTGCCTAAATGACACAAACTTTGGAAGAGGGAATGACATCATATTTGAATTTTTCCTTCCTTTTCTGAACATGTTTTAAAATAGTTCTGCTACAATGATAGTCCCAGGTCACTGGTATAAGAAAGTCATTGTTAGCAAAATAGAGTACAATAACATGTAGAGTCTGAAAAAGGAAAGCTTCCTTGGAATTGGTAATCGTGTGTTCCTCCTCCAACACCCCCTCCTGCATGCATGTGCACACACATGTGCATGCAAACATGCACGCACACATAGAAAGAAACCAGAATTCCTATTTCTAAGACTCCAACTGAGTTCAAACAATCCCCAAAATATTATAAGCAGAGTAAATGTATTGACGTTGGTGGACTGGATTAAATTACTGTGCCTTCAGAGAAAAGCATCTTATCCCAGAGCTGGAAATTGCCCATAATCACTGAGATACTAAGTAGAGAAATTAGAATTTAACTCCAGAATGACTTCTACTTCTTATGTATTAATTTTCTTTCCTAAAACTTTTCCTTTTTCTTCTTTTTTCATGCAACTTAGTGGTATTTTCAACACTGGACTTAGAATATTCCCTGATCTGACCAAAGTGTATTCCACTGATGTATTCTTTATACTGTAAGTATGCACAACATGCAGTGTTTGACACTATTTTGTTACTGACAAGAACTAGGGTATAGCCATGGGGATTGGCCAAAAACAAGTAAAACAATTGTTCTATGGAGGAAACAGTGATCAGTGTGACAACCCTGATGAAGAAAGTGAAGCAGGACTGAAAAATGGCCATTGAATTTAGTAAGGTGGGCCACTGGTGATTCTAACAAGAATAGTTCCAGTGGATTGGTGGGGGTGGGGATATAGGGTTGGGAGGGGCTGAACAGAGAATTGGAGGGGAAGAATTAGAAAACCAACTCTTATGAGAAGTTTTACTATTAAAAGGGAGCAGAAAATGTCTCAATAGTTGGAGGATATCGGGAGAACAGGTTTGGTTTGTTCTTTTCGTTTAGGGTCTCACAAATACTAAAAAGTGCTTCTATAATGAGCCTCATCCCCAACCCTGTTCTTATTTTAATCATTTTTTTCAGTACTGGGAATTGAACACAGGACCTTGCATTTATTAGGCATGCACTTGATCTATGCCCCCAGCCCCCTTGCTTTATTTTAAATGAAAGAAATTATAGAATATTTGCTGATGGGAATGATTGAATATAGGAAAAAATTAATGAGGATGATAGCTTATTTTCCATATTTTAAATAGCTTTTTAAACACTTTCCCATGCATCACATTTGCTACACTGAACACCTTATAGGCATAAAAGCAAGTTATTATTTTCTATTCAATGAACCAGAAAAATGAGAAGTGGAAAATCTAAGTGATTTTGTCTGAGCACAGTCCAATAGGGCAGTCAAGAGTCATTCTCAAACTACTTCCTGTGGCTTTTGATTAGTGGCCTTGTATTGTTTTCCAAAGACTGTGACACAAATCAATTGTCTTGCCTAATTGTACAGAAGAAAGACATATGAAGAGAGAATTGCACAGGTTGAGTTTATACTACAGAGTCAGCAAAATATGGAGCAATAAGCCCCAAACTCTTCAGTTCCTTCTAGAAAAAAAGCACAGTCTTGCTTCTTTGCTACAGAGAAGTTCAGTTAAAAACATAAGCAATATTCCAGGAGCAAGTCTGGTTCTCTGAGAGCATCCACCTGACAGTCTCACAAATAGAGGACATTTGAATACTGCTTGTGAAATGAAATCCATTGACTTTCCTATTCACAGAGAAAACACTAGTAGCTATGGTTGAAGTGTTTCAGATTCAGAAGTCTCTGAGAACCATCTGCTTCCCTTGAAATGAGGGATACCCACACCTAAACCTTGCTCGCTTCCTGCACACTGGGGACTCTGAATGCACATCTATCTAAGACAGCTCTCACCACCTCATGTGACCACCATTGTTACCAAAGGATAAATTAAAGTGCATTTGTACATCAAGAGCCCATTTCCAGAAAGAAAGCATTTGTGTGTGTGTTTTTGTCTTTCTCTCTTGCAGTGAAATCACAGACAACCCTTACATGACCTCAGTCCCTGTAAATGCATTTCAGGGACTGTGCAATGAAACTTTGACACTGTAAGTATTGCCGGTTTCATTCCTGCCAACAAGCAAATTTTGTTTTGGGTCATTGTCATATTTTTACAGACTAAGAACCCCTATGCCTTATAGTATGTACTCTGTAGTCTGCAGAGTTTCATGTAATTAAGTAAGAATATTGCCTTGTGGTGTGGTACTCTGTAGACCACAAACAGGTGGAGGTAACAAGACAGGCATATCCCCTTATTGCAATGGTTGGTGGATTTTTTCTGGGAAGGACCAGTTATGCTTTAAAGATCATACAGCAACTGCTCTTCTCTGCTTTTGTGAAAAAAAAGCAGCCACAAACACATACAAAAACTATTGGGCATATCTGTGGCCCTCTATATTTTGTTTACAGAAACATGTAGTCAATGAGATGTGGCCTGCAGGCCTTGTGGCATAATACTCTGTATTTAAGTATTCCCATGATAAAGAGGAAGAACCTGTGAAGAAAATTTAGGGAACTTTCACAAGGTCACTGAGTTAGAGAGTGGTGTCATTAGGGCTTTTCATACTCCCGTCATGCTGTCACTCAACAATCATAAATGATCACTAGGATGCTGTAAGTGGGTGTTAAACAGAGAACATAATGCTGCTTTGGATGGGTCCTTCTCTTTAGATATTTGAAAGAAAATGCTTTATCAGGGATAGTCACAAAATGTTCTAATAGAGAAGATCTAACAGAAATATAAAAGATAAGTTAATTCTCCAAGATGGTCACAAAGGAAAGTGGTGGCCACCTCTGTAGACCCCTTCTCTCTACTTTCAGTACCAGTACTCATGATCAGGCCTGGTGGGGTTTTTGCCTGGATTGTTGTGCATGCTCCCTGTCTCTGATCACACAACAATCTGGAGTTCCTGATCAGATGCAAACCTGACTCAGTTACTCCACAGCAAAAGGTCTCCACACAACTTTTCCAAAGGCTCTTTTTCAAGTCACTCAGAGTCTACCAGTTTGGGCCCTATGAACTATTGCAACTATTGGGAGTCTACCAACAGCTGAAGAGATTCAGCAATTTCTTCTCCTCACAACAAAGGAGAATTCTCATGAAAACACTGGAGATTTCTTCTCAGCCACCATTCCCTTTGACAGCGTTAAGAAGACCTGGGCTCTTAGCCAGCTCAGCTCCGAACTTCAAGGCCACATGCCTCCTGTGAAAAGGATTTCATTGTGCCATTTAACTCTCCTCATAAGAAAATCCCCACATTCTCAACTTCTTTACAGAGCATTACCTTCCCTGTAGGAAACCTCTTCTCTAAGGACCTCATATTCCAAGCAGATCTTCTAATGAAAGCTGCTCAGTAGGCATCTTAGAAATATCCAAGTGAAGGGACTTCATATTCCAGAGCCTAGAAGTGGGAATGGCATGGATTGACCATTATCTTTTCAGTTGATTATTTCTATATTCTTTCAAAAGTCCTTTGTTTGAAGCTCATGCTCAAACAAACAAAAGAGAAAAAGTTTAAACCTGAAAGGATAGGTGTTTAACAGCAGAGTCTGTGCCTATATTCCTGGTAGGGCAGTTTCAATCACAGTTTGCAGTCCTTTTTCTTTCTTTGCTATTTTATTTTTTCAATGCCTACTTGTCCATGAAGTTTTATTTCATCTCTAAAATGAAACTCAAACAAAGAACATTTTTAGTGTCCAGGAAGTTCAATAAACTTTAGGGTAATAAAAGAGCATAATTTTTACATCTTTGTAAAAGAGCTGCAGTTCAGAAAAAATAAACTTATCCATTAGCACTTTCTCAGACTTTGTGCCTGGGTCGCTGGAAAATACATTGCAATCTTCATCCAGGATACTTAGTAGCTACAATTAAACTCATTAGTTAATTATTTTAAAAAAACACATAAGCAACAACAATAAAGCCATGAGATTATTTCTCAGTTCTTTACAGTTATGTAGAATAAATTCAAGTTTTAGGACACTTCATTTAACAGGATCATCTCTTAAGTGTCCTTCATTATATTAGATATATAGTGATTTGATTTTCTCAGCAACCTTCTAGTTATGCATTATTATATTTTTACAGATAAATGAACAGTAGAAGAGGGGATGTGAAATTCTCAGGATTATCTAGCTATTAAGTGGAATTCTCCCACACACTCCTTAACGAGTTACCAGAGTTCACATCTGGCAGATTACAGTTGTCTTCAAAGTTTCTCTACAGTTGTCATTAGGAGTTCCCAGAACTGTACCTAATTGTGGTCATGGCTGTCTTCTCTTCATGCCAATAGCCACAAGTAAACCTTTTCTATTCCCATATAACCCAGAGTTCCCAGGCCAGTGGTCCTTCCTCTGCAGAAGGGATGTGTGCTTTAGGTGGTTAGAAAGAATTGTATTTGAGATCAAGGATCCTGATTTCCAACATTTCTATACCAATGTGTTTTTGGCAAGTCACCTCTATGTCTCAATAACGTCACTAGAAAAGAGGTGGTAGCATTTCAGACTGGCCCCCAGGAGTCGATGAATTAATTAATGGCAGAAACATAGCAACAAGTTACAACATTAAAACTTTCACAAAAAATATTGCTCTGTTTTCTTAGACTCGCTATGAAATTCAATTTAATTCAACCACAACTGTTAAACAGTCAATCTGTAATAGACTGTGAGAAAATAAGATTTATTTAAATGTGAAATAACATTTTAGATAGAAAATCTGTGCATTCAGATGAATGTCTTTAAAAATGTTCATTTTAAGAAACTGCAGCTACATGTCCACTATTGACATTGGGTTATCTATTACTCTGAAACTCCATTTTCTTGGAGTATGTGCACAATAAAAAAAAATCAGTTGGAAAATCTTTGTTCTTCAAAGTAAATCTACTTCTGAGAAAAGGTTTACTTTCTAGCACCTAAATCTGAAGAATGGGTGTTGAAACTGAGAAATATTTCCTGATGTCCTAAGCAAGTTTTCTTTAGGGTAAATTGGTAGACCTAGGAAACTTTATACTGAAGAGATGAAGTCCAACCATTCAAAATGGTGTCAGCACCACCTCTCACAGGCCATTGATTTTTTTTTCTCTCTATTGATTGTAGGAAACTGTACAACAATGGCTTTACTTCAATCCAAGGACATGCCTTCAATGGGACTAAGCTGGATGCTGTGTAAGTCAAGGGTAGCATAGAAACTGCTACCTTTCCCCACCCTCACCCCCATCCCCACCTGTAAAAGGACCATCCAGTGGGTCAGAATTCTACTGAGAGATACAAACCACCTGGGGATCCTGTTAAAATACAAATTTCAATTCAATAGATTTGATGGCTTTCCTAGTTTCAGTCTCAATATAGATACTTTACCTCTGATTACCAAAATGTGAGGGAATTTTTCTCCACCAACAGCCAAACTTTTTGCAACAGACACCAAACTACATGTTCTAACACTATGTACTGGAAGATGCACAGATCCCACAGGTCAAGGGCGCAGACTCATAGGTTAACCCCACTTCACATGCCAATTCTAAGCCCCAAGTTATAACTTGTGGTTCTGATCATTATAATTTAGGGTTTCTGACCCTCTGTTTCATTCAATTAATTTTCTAGAGCAACTCACATAACTCAGGGAAACATTTCACTTACATTAAAATATATCAAAAGGAAATTCAGATGGAGGGAAATATGAATGTGAAACAGGGCATGGAGTTTTCATACACTATCTGGGAGCACCACTCTCATGAACCTCCATGTGTTCAGCTATCTGGAAGCTCATCTGAACCCTGTCCTTCTGGGTTTTTGTGGTGAATTCATTACATAGGCATGACTGATTACTTCATTAACCATGGGTGATCAAATCAACCCTCAAACCCTTTCCCATCTTGGGAGGTTGGGAGTGGAGTTGAAAATCTCTATTCTATAATGATGCCATGGTCTTTCTGGCAACCAGCCCCCATCCTGAAGTCATCTAGGAACTGCCTGTCACCAGTCATCTGGTGAACTCAAAAGATACTCTTACCTCTCAGGAAAATATAAGGATTTTAGGACCTGTGAGCCAGGAAACAAGAATAAAAGTCAAATGCATATTTCATAGTATCACACTACTAAAGAATCTTTTGATAGGCTATTTTGTTGGTAGGCTGGCAAATTTAACAAAGTTTGTTCTAGAGGCAACCTGTAGAGATTCTAACTAGGAAGATTTCAGATTATCTGATTGTCTTTTGAAATTAAACCTATGAAGAAAGTACACACAGAGACTACCTTCTTACCAGCTTTCTTTACATCTCCTATCATGGGCTCTGGGGAGGGGGGGTTTGCCATAGGCTGACAATGGATTTTAATTTCTTGGTGCTTCATTCAGTCAGTTCTAGTCACTGTAGCTATCCTTTGAAACAGAAAAGAAATCAGTGCACCATTTTCAACATACTTTCTTGATATTTTTATGTTAAACATTAAAGTTAGTTGGAAGAGTATCACAAATGTGGAAAATATTTCTTAGTTAGGAATAATTTGTTTCTTGATTTTTAAAAGTCTAGATTAGGGGTCAGCAACCCTTTTCTGGAAATGACCCAGATAGCAAATATTTGGGGATTTGTGGGACATAGGGTCTCAGTTGTACCTACTCAACTCTGCCATTGTAGTATGAAAATGGTAATAGGCAAGAAATATATTAGCAAATGGTTATGGCAATGTTTCAATAAAACCTTACTTACAAAAACAGGTGAAAGACACAATTTGATGGGAGAATCAGACCTCTGGTCTGGATGAGATCGTCAGTAAAGATGGCTGTTTTATGGAGAAATATGTGTCTATTTCTCCCAATTCCTGGTAAAGGTTAAAGGGCAAGCATGGGATCAAGATAAGAAGTATCTGGATAAAAATATTTCAGTATGAGAAAGTTCAGATCCAATCATAACAGAAACAAAGATTTTTTTCCAATCAGTATTGTGAATCCAACTGGAAACTGTTCCTGTTACAAAACGATGTTCCATCTATTCATCATCCTACCCGAGGTTTCTGATTTCCAGTTGATGGAAATTTGTTTTCTTAGATTTAAGTGTATCAATGAAAGGTATCATGTGAATCCAATGTTGATGGTCATTGTAAGGCACCCCGCAGGTGGAGAAAAAACAAGGTCTGAGCTATAGATAAAGGAAAAAGAGATCAAGTTTCTAGAGTAATAAGGAAATAGTATTCACTTTATGTTTTTAACATAGGGCTGTTGTGTTTGGTCTCAAAGTTTATTGGATTTCAAATGAAGGCAAACACAACCTTCTAATATCCTCAGAGGGTTTAAGGATTGTAAATAGCATGTTAGCAATTTGCTGATTTCTCTAGAATTTGTGTTCGGATACTCTAGGTTCTAGTTTAAGTAATTTGTCATCCAAGGAGCAATCATCTGCCTCATGCCAGTCTGCTGAAATTAGCAGGTTTGACCTCAACTACACCCTTTTTTATTGTAACTGAATAATAATATCATAGCCAAGTTGAATAAATTCCACACTGAGTACAAGCACTGATGCTTCAACAGCAGTTGAGTAATTAGAAGTTTGTGAAAATTGTGGCAGATGTGTGAAAGCACATCATCCTGATTGCACATGGAAGCCAAGCACATTGTCATCACTCAGATGTGAAATTAATAATAATGCAAACATCCTTGCTCAACGGACATTGAACTGCACTCAGTCACAAGTCTTATGTTCACTCTTTACAACCTCTTTTCTAGTCTCTCCCCAGACATTCTGCTTGGAGGTATCCTGCTTCTCACACAACGTCTGACTCTCTGCATGGAATTTTCTATTGTCAAACTCTAGTAACTAGCTACTATCTAATAGTAAACATTTGATCAGGCAAAAAAAATATCTTTTTGATGTGTTAAGAACTTACCAAAACACTAATCATTATGAACAGAGAAGTCAACACAATTAATGTGCTAATTAGCATCACACATTAGCTGATTAGAATTAAAACACCACAGTGTGGAGCACTGGGAAAAGATGACGATAGAGAAGATTATAGGATTAAGCAGGCTATTATTTCTCATAGGATAAGTATTTGAACAGCTTGTCGGATATGTTCCAAGGTTGGCTTTTCCCTCTGCTTATGAGCACTTTCTCACCTGTTACTGTTTATAAGCAAGTGTCCTGAGTTCTGCAACAAACAGGATTTCCAAAGAGCAACCCAGTCTGTCTTTTGACTAATGTCAGAGCAAAGCAGAGGATTCCCCTCTGCTTTTCTGAACAATGAGAGCCATGGAAAAGAAACACACTTTCCCAGTAAAGTGTTCCCATGTGAGTCTCACAACATAACTAGGTGCCAACTCAAGTTTTCTTTAAAGGGATCATGGAGATATGAGTTGAAATTCCATCTTGGAGCTGAAATATAACCTTAAACTCCTCAGAGAGCAAAGATTAGCTGCAACAGCAAATTTTCTACTCCTTTCTTTGACATAAATCTCTTCTTTCTAAACATTACAGAGAGGGTGCCTCTATCTTTGAGAGAAAGATATGAAACTGGGCTTTCAGTTATTCATCCAGTAAGTCTTTACTGAATGCTGTATGTCAAGGGTGAGTCCAATAGGGAGTGCACACACTTACACACACACACACACACACACACACACACACACACACTATAAATACCATATACATTATACACATAATACTGAGTGTCAATCGAATCTTTTCTCCCAACTCATTCTTGACTACATTGTTCTGCCATAACTATAAGATACATAATTTTAAATCAGGTCAGGATCTCTTAACCCCCTGTATAGAAAATTCTGACATCTCTTTTATAGAATAAACTTATTTTCAACAGGTTCTCAAGGAGGAATAACCCTCCCCCCAAAACAATGAAGAGCCATTAAACACACAGATATATCAGCATCTATCTTACTTTTAAGGGAAATATAAGTTCTATTCTCATAAACCCTTCCTTGTGTTTACATTTAGAAATCCTGACTTTCAAGAAATCTGTCCTTTCAGTTCTTACTATAAGTTTTCTACACTCTTTCAAGTTCCTTTATGTTCATCTTCTATAAAATAATCATTGCCTGAAGTACATTGCCATATAGCCTACCAAGATCCACGATTGATTTACCCAAACTGGTTTAGAATGTGGACTCCAGAGGAATCAGGATAGGTCATGATCAGGGATCCAGTTTGACCAGGCTGACACTCCTAGAAAAGTTTATGTGATAAATGGATTTGATATGAGTACTTTCTTCCTGGTTACTCAGGCTTCTCTATCTATATTTCCTCTCATCTTCAGATAGGAGATAGGAAGAATCTAAATCCAAAGTTAAAAGCTAAACGTGGCAGTCCTCAAAACTTCAAATATCACTAAGGCGGTGGATGCAGAAACATCATGTGTTTGAGGCCAGCCTGGGCTACATAGAGAGTTCCAGGCCAGCCTAGGATATCTAGAGAGACCCTGTCCAAGACAAACAAAACAAAAAACATCCACAAAATAAAACCAGCAAACAAAAAATTGCAAAAGACAGAGTGATGGTTTCATTTTTAAGCACCTAATTATCTCTAAGAGGTTGAGTACACAAACAATATATTGGTTTTAGAGAACACAGTCTCCTTCCTGCAAGACCAGTTCATTTGTGTTTCATGTTGGCTCCATGTACCTCCTGTATATCCTTTTCCCTTACTGGACTCTGGCTGGCTTTCCCAGTTTGAAATCTTCTGTAGCATTTCTGGTAAACTGCAGTGCTTATCAACCAGTCTCCTTATCCTCAGGGGTGTATTAAATATCAGATGAAAACACTACAGAATTAGACAAGCAATAATTTAATTTTATGACAATTTCTAATGATTAAAGCAAGCCGATTTTCACTCACAGCAGTTGAAGATGAAGAGGAAGAATTGAGATGAGCTCAGCAGCACTTCCTTGATTTTCAACAGTCTGGGAATAGGGTGTGATCTGCAAGCTGCATTGTCCAAAGAATACAAAAGGAGTCACAAACCAGTACAGTTCTTATGCCAAGCTTAATTGTCAAAATCATGCTGTTCAAGATTGTCTCTCCAATTGTTGTTTTCTCCAAGGTGGCTCTCACCTACACCAGCTTTGACTAACCAAAGATCTTCATGGACACAATGGGTTGAAGAAACCAAACTATAATCAAGTGGGGACCATGAGTGGTGACTTTCATGCAGCAATCCATTGGAAAAGCATAGATTGGTTGCTTTAAGCATCTTAGTTAGGTCTTTGAATATATATGAGATTAATTAATTCTCTCCATGTCAGAGAGAATTAATCTCTGTGGACTGAAACCTCCAAAACTGTGAGCCAAATAAACTTTTCTCTTTTTAAGTTGATTATGTCAGATATTTATTACAGTAATGGAAAGCTAACTAACACACATTGACAGCTGAATGCCCAGCTACTTCCTGAAGAAGCCATTATTTGGGGCATACCTTTTGTAAACCAGCTGCCTTAACAATCATTGCCATCAAGAAGGTCAATTGGCCAAATGCCACCACACTATGCTGTCTTCTTTTCTTTCATTCTCCATTATTTTTTCTTTAAAACAATCATGTGTGATGTGGAAACTCTCTGGTGACAAGTGTAGTGAATATTTATTAAATTAACGAGTAATATAGTTTATCAGCAAAAAAAAAAAAAATCATGTGTGTCAGTATCAGAGCTTGTCCATCTGACTATCTTGAAGGAAAGATCTATTTATTTGCTCATCGACAATTCCCATCCAACAGTTATGCAGCCCCTGGACTTGGCACTGGGTGCACAGCAATGAATAAGACAGAGAGCTTTCATTCTAGTTAGAAAGACATAATATGCAAGCAAACAAATAAATAAGCAAGTAATTACAAATTTTGATAATGCCATGAAGGGAAATAAAGAGTATAAGGAAGCAAACTGGAAATTGCTAATTTAGATTAAGTAGTTTTCCATTCTCTGTTTTTTAAAAATTGAAAGACCCAAAAATGTAGAACAATTTGTAAGAGCTCATTGTACGGAGTCCTAGTACTTACTTGTCATTTGGTTTATCCCCATCTTGCCCAGAACAGGCTGACTGATAAAAACTTTTCTACATTGGTAGTTGATACTCTTCTTACCCACACTGCTCCAGTAAAGACACACCTGGATTCAATTAACAAGAGGAAGTTTCTCCATGAGGGCTCTGGAGAAAGAACCCTGCCTGAAAGTCCTCATGTTTCACTACCATTATCAACCATCATTCTTAAGAATTTTCCATCCTGAAGAGCAAACCCCATTGGTACACTAATGGAAGTATTATTTGTAAGCAGACCTCCTAAGGGTCTCTGCTGTATTCATTTTGCATCAACCTGGGGCCACTCACTAGAGCTTAAATTGGCTAGGCTATGCTGTGAATTATTTTAAATGTGCAAATTGGGATAATTTATAATGAAGGTACATATGTGCTTTATCACTTTTTATAATTTTGAACTCTAAAAAAGCTATGGGGGAAAAGGGGCCAGTTTCAAAATCCTTGGAAGCTTTTGTTCATTTGGAGGAAATTTTGTTTTAAAACCACTTTGTGACTTAAATTGCTTCAAAAATATTATACTCTCAAATGCCCAATCAGTTTTCAAAATAAAAAGATCAACATGCTTATCAAATCCCTTCCATACAAGGTATATACTGTAATCTTATCTGCTTAAACACCCCCCCAACCTCCACCAAAAATAGTGTTGTCAGATAAAATAAGTGCCATTCAATTAAATTTGAATTTTCAACAAATAGCAGATAACTTTTCCTTATAAGAATGTTTCAAAAATTGTGCAAGGAATATTTATATTGGAAATCATTCAATGTCTACCTAAAATTCAAATTAAACTGGCATCCTGTGTATTTATTTGCTACATCTGACAACCTCTCTCAATTTCTGACAGTCCCTATCACATTCACCTCCCCTGCCACCACCATCCCATTCCTGATTTAAGCCCTGCCTTCAAGAATAAGTGGGAATACCAGTATTAAGAAACAAAATTTAAATCAGTTGGTATTGAAGAGGATTAAAAGCACAATTGCACTGGCCAGGAAATGGGAAATTTGTGCAACTTTAATGAAATTTATATTTGTAAACTTAGAACATAAATATACTCATTTTTAAAGACTATTGCCATAATTAATGTATAAAAACCTTGCACAATTAGGACATAGAATGTTTTGAGTGCTTAAACTAGAAGAAAAACTGTCTTCTACATTCTCAAAACCCACTTAATAACTAGGGAAGCCATGATCACATTTTGTTATCATCTTTGTACTAATTTTCTGTGATTGCTTAAACTCACTTAATTTATCTTCCCTTTTTTCTCTGTCACTCTCTGTCCAGTTACTTAAACAAGAATAAATACCTGACAGTTATTGACAAAGATGCATTTGGAGGAGTATACAGTGGACCAACCTTGCTGTGAGTAAAACAAAAGTCTATTTTAGCTTATTTGGAATTTTTATTTGTTTGGTTTACTTTTTTGGAATAGAAGGAAACATGGAGAAGAGAAGCTGATGTTCAAGGGTGGAGAAGGCTGTTGTCTTAGAGAAAGGCTTCTGCTAATATATTCTGCCTGGTTCTATAGGCTACCTCTTGGGAAAATGTCCTTGTTCTTTGAGACTTAGAAGGCCCCAAGCCCCAACATGTCATCCTATAAAGGTTCTATTCATGGAGCAGCTGCTGTTTGCAGAATTCAAACACATGAAGTCTGCAAATAGGTGGAAGGCATTCTAGTCTTTGTAGAAAAATTGTACATGAGTATGTACTGTACATGTCTGGAATGAAGAAGAAAGAATATAAATGATAGTTTGACTCATATCTAGAAGAACTTAAAATCTCTAGGAAACAATGAGATAGAAACATTTTTAAAATAGCTGAGAAATGTACCTATTTTCCTCTGGTTTTTACCTCCACATGCAATCAGTGATTAAGTTCTCTCAATTCTGTTTCCCTCAAGCCATCCCCTTGATTTTAGCCTAGTTCATAATCTCATCATTGAAGCATCTAGTCTAGTCCTTGCCAAAGTGAAACATGGTACCCAAAAGATGATGAAGACAATCCATTTGGAACAAGCAGAAACTATTCATATTTAAGTTATTAAAAATATGAACAAATTAGTTATTAATGTGTATGCCAGTGACCGCTGACCCTCAGCGTCAGGTAGGAGATGGATGCATTGTGAGAGTAGAGTGGTTGGTCTGCAGTTCTGAGGACTAGACACTTTTTCACCATTAATAATGCTATTTTACTTTTAGCTTAAATGTATCCAGTTAAGTAGGTTAGAAACTGCTGTACCATGAGAGAACAAAGCAAAGTACTTAAATGCATCCTGCATTTTTCTTTTTACAAAAAGCCCAAAGCAGGTGGGGAAGAAATGTGTTAACCTTTTCCATTCCAGTGTTTTTTTTTAACCTGGCAGATATCTTTATTTGCATCTTCAAGATAAAAATGATATTTAGCCAACAAATGAAGAATGTTTCTTCTATTTTTTTTTTTATAAAAGTACTTTTACTTTGGAGAGAGCCTTTAGAAATAAGTATTTGAAACATTCGTCATGTGATTTTTCCTGATGAAAGTGGTAAACACCATGAAAATTCTTTTCTTAAAAAACTTAAACAAAATTTAACTTTTTAAATCTTTCAAATTAATTTTGTGTGAGCTTAAATTGTGTGCCCTCGATTCAAATGTTAAAGCTCTAACTTCTGTACCTAAGAATGTGACTGTATTTGGTCTTTAAAGATTTAGTTAAATTAAAATAAGGTTATTGAGTTGAACCTAATTCAATCTGACTGGTGTCCTTATAAGAAGAAGAGATTAGGAGATACACAGAGACACTAGGGATGCCAGAGGAAAACACGTGAGGACTCAGTAATCCAAGGAGAAAGGCCTCGGGAGACATTGAACTTGCAGCATCCAGAACTGTAAGAGAACACATTTCTGTTGCTTGGGCCACTTGATCTGTGGTAGTTTGTTATGGTAGGTCTAGCAAAGTAATGCAGAGTTTCAGTGAGATTAAAAAACCATATGGATAAAATTTGAAAATAAGACAGATTAGTTTGCAAAAACAACTGATTAACATCAGAGAATATGAATTTCCATTAAAATCATGTATTTAATTACTGGATTAGATTGAAAAACAAGAATCTTAATTTAATGAGTGTAGCCAAGGTTCCCTTATTCATTTGAAAGTATTTACCTTTGTGTGGCAACTTTTTCAACTGAGACAACCATTTACACCAAAACCAAAATAAACTAAACCAAAAGCAGACATCATGTAGTCATATCATAAGTAGTTTAAAAGTAATATTCAAGACTAATTAAGCACATTTGGTAACAATGCATCCACTTTAACAAAAAGAATTTTAGATATTACTTTCTCTTCATCATAACCCTTTAAAATGTATTTTGCATTTTAGAATGTACATAATATAACTTCATAGCACTTCATGCACAGAGCTCATGAATATTCATATATCAGAGTGCATTCTCAAATTGTTTTTACTTATAAATAAATATGTGAGATTGAAAGAATTTGAATATCAATGATGTAGACCAGAACCACTCAAAGTGTGAGTCCCCCATTAGGTTAATGGCTGCTTAAGAATGTAATCAAAGCACAGCTTCCTCCACGGAGATGGTCTTGCCCTGAGAATGAAGTCACCCAAATTGAACAGTGTGCTTAGTGAAGAAGTTGGCTTACAACCCAGCACAAATTTGTTGCTTTGTAAAGGACTAGTATGAAACCATTGGCCTCTGGGCAACACATTTTGAGTAGCAGTAGCATAGATGACACAAGTCTCCAAATCCACTCTCGCCACTGTCCTCAAATGTCTATAGTTTCAAATACAAGTAAGATCTTAAAACCCCAATGCTGGTCTCCCATTTCCCTCAGGATAAGGCATTAGTGTGGCATGTGAGACCCTGGATATGATCTTCAGCTTTGTCTCTCACACCACCTTACACCTCTGACCAATGATCCATCCATAGTGAGCCTCTTTGTTTCCCTAATGTTCAAACTTACTAATACAACTATGGTAAACTCTTATTTTCTTATTACCTGGAAAAGCCTTCTACATTCTTATCTAGATGATAAGCACCCACTGATACCTTGATATTGAAGTGAACTTTTCTTCTCTGAAGTCATTCTTGGCCTTCCTTCTCCTTAGGGGAAAACTTCTTCTGTACACCATACACCATGTGTGAATCTTCTTTACCTATATCTTTAGGCTATCCTAGAGGGTAAGGGTTATATCTGTCTTATATCTATAGTTTTAGTTCATATTATTATGCTTGAGACATAGTAAAAGCTTAATGAATATTTGTGGATTAGTAAAGTGCACAATAAATAATCAAATCATACTTCAGCAATCACTAGAGTATTTAAGTAGTAATCACATCTTAAAGATATTTAACATGTTGTCCTTAAGAAAACATATCTATTTCTATTTCTTTGGAAGTGGTAAATTAAATTAGTCATTGGTTTGCAGTACTTGAAATGTATATATATATATATATTTATGGCAACATTTTCTCCAACCAAAGTAAAAATAGCTATGTTCTTGGTGCCATTTCAGCTTGTAGAAAGTGAACTAGATAAGAAGTTATATGTGAAATTAACTCCGATTTCATCACTTACCATTTGTAAGACCAGTGACATATTCAAGCAAGCAGTTATGTATGTGGGTATGAAAGTCACAAACCATTTCAGGGATAAAGATCTATCCAAGACTCTGTGTAAGTCGTAGTGGGAGAATGGATATGGAGGAAATTTCAAAGAATGGAAAGAATTAAGACTTCTAAGGGCTGGTAGAGTGGCTCAAGTGTTAAGAGTGCCTGCCTAGCATGTGTGAGGCCCTGAGTTCAAACCCCAGTGCTACAAAAAGAAAAACAAAAACAAAAACTGAAACTAACAAAAAAAAACTTCTGATAACCCTTCTTATCAAAGTAATTTTCCTTAATTCATTGTTAATATTAAGTTGGTAATACTTTTAGGGGAAAAAAAAAGATAATACAAAGAAAGTGAGAAAAGTGGCCATGTAAATGAGTGACAGATGTCTTCAGAGATAAAGAAAGAACTGCTTGCTAAGTATTTACATGGGTAAAACCAATAAAAAGAAAACTAATTCAAATCACACAATCTCAGATTCCATCAATTAAATCTTAAGTATTTTACATGTGTGTAGGCAAGAGTGAAGTTGGAAGTCTTTAAAAACTTTACCTGTTCCCCCAGATTTCCTCATCCTGAATAGTCAAGTAGCTATTTCTTTGCCACCACAGAAGAAGACTAAAGTTTGTTTTCAGCAAAAATGTCATCATGAAGATTTAAGGAGAATAGGCACAATTGATGACAGAAATGAGGCACTGTTCTGAAAACAGGATGATATGAAAGTTTGTATTCAATATATAAGCTCAACAAGTCTTTCTATCCACTCAGCTGGTAAAATACTGGCATCAGAATGCATACACTCCAGTGAGGGGATTCAAATTCTGAGGAAGCTGATAGTCCCAAAGGAAAAGAAAAAGAAAAAAACACAAAAATGATCATTGCTAGTTTCTCACAGTTGCTACAATAAAGTTCATCAGTCAATATGCTAGTCAATGATCCAAAGCTATGACAAATACCTGAGAAAATCAACTTAAGGGAGGAAAGACTTATTTGTGTCCATGGTTTTAAAGGTTTCAGTCCATGGTTGGCTGGCTCCATTGTTTCTGGTTCCGTAGTAAGGCAGAACATCATGGCAGAAGGGCAGGGTGCTGCAAATCTGCTCACCTCATGATGGCCAGGAAGAAGAGAGGAAGGGTCTGGGAACAAGATACCCTTCAAAGGCATAATACCAGTAACTTACTTCCCCCAACTAGGCCCCATGCTCCAATGGTTCGTTTCAGCTGCAAATTCATCAATGGATTTACCTATTGATAAAGATTAGAGCCCTCATGATCCATTTGCTTCTAAACACTACTGTAGGACCAAGCCTTCAACACATGGACCTTTCATATACAAACTTTTATATCCAAACTATAACAGCTAATAAACTTATATATACAGAACTTCCCATAAACCTCCCTTGCAAACAAGAATAGACACTTGAGGATCACCAGACCTTTTAGGAAAGCCATTGACAGGAAAGGCATCAACATATCACAATTTTCCATTCACAGACCATTCTTAGTTTAAATTTATTTCTCAGGTTCTGCTGTTGTTAATTGCTATTGTAAATGGGATTGTTTTCTTTAATTCTTTTTATGATAGTTCATTGTTAGTTTATAGAAACATAGCTGATTTTTGTATGTTTATTTTGTATCTTGAACATTAGTGAATTCATTTACAAGTTCTAACAGTATTTTTGGTGGGATTTTTAAGGTTTTCCATGTATAAGATCATGACATCTGCAGAGACAGTTTTTCTTCTTCCTTTCTTATCTA